TTCTGCCCCAGCCCCGCAGCGCTTGTGGTTGCGGGCGGGTGGGGGTCGCCGCGCCCGGAGCGGAGGCTGAAGCGGCCGAGCCTCGTGCCCGCCGTGCCTCGTGCGGGGGCGGTTTCCCTGGAGCCGCGGCCCCCGTCCGTGTGGTCGCTCGTTATTCCTGTGGTCCCCGAGTCCGTCCCGCTTTGATGCGTCTGTGCTCCTGGTCTGCACGGCTCTGCTGGTCTGCGGTTGACGCGCAGTAGCGGGACGTGGGGCTGGTGCGCTTCGACACAGCTGCGCACCCTGAAGCTGTCTCCGCCACCGCGGCTCTGTCATCCCCAGAAGTTTGCTGGCCCTGTTTAGTAATCCGTCTCAGGTTTCCGTTTTGTTTTGCTGTGTGCCCCCTGAAGGGTTTTGTGGCATATTTTTTAGTTTTTGAAGTGAAACATTGATCTTGAAAGTGCTTATAAAAATATCAATATTCAGAGAGTCAAGAGACAGCTTAAGGCTTACAAAACCAGGTAAGGAAAGCGGGAAATGCTGTTTTGAATATCGTTCTAGCCTTTAGGCCAGACGTTCTACAAATGGTAGAGACTTCGAGGTAACTGCTTCTGCCGAGCTCGGTTTCCCTAAAGCGTGTTCGCCCAGATGCCCGCATTCCTCAGGGACACTCCCATGGCTTCAGGGGAAAGTCTGGACCTATTTAGCAATGTGGTAAAATAAAACTCGGACTTGAATCCAGGACCAGAAGTTCAACCCAAACTATTCTAATTGAGATGAAAAGCCTCACCTTTGTGTATTTCTCTTTTTTAGAAAGATCAACTGAAATTGGCAAACTTCTGAGTTCTTACTTGGAAAAGAAGCGGGAGGTGGAGGACCACACAGTGCACCTGCTTTTCTCTGCGAACCGCTGGGAACAAGTGTAAAAGCATTGCCCTTCCACCCCTGTGCTCTGCTCCCTCCTGGGACTGGGGGGGGCAGCTCTCGACTCTGAGTGGCGCTGACGGTGATGCCGGAGGCTGTACCTTTACAAGGCTCTTATTCACCAGTCCTGTGGCCAGGGTCTGACTGCTGTCGTCCCAAAGAGCCCTGATTGATGCTTTTTCTGCCTCCTGCCCACCCCCCTTTATAATTAATTTTACTTAGATAGCTTTAGGCATACAGAAAGGCTCAGAAAGGATGGAATTGCCTCATACCCATCCCTTCCTCCTGTTCCCCACAGTTTACCTGTTTATATCTTTGGTTAACTGAAGCTTACAGTTTAGGTTGGTATTTCACCCTCTCTCACCCCTTTTTGTTTTACATCATCTTAGTAGAGTCCTCTCAACATTTAACTGTTTACTGAACAATATGGTTGTGCTCTCAGAGGGTCGTTTCCTTTTACACACTTTCAGTTAACACGTCACTGGAAGTTGTTTTGTTGTAAATAAGTGGGGTCCTACCATACAAATCATTTCGCAGCTGCTTTCTCGCTGCCTTGCAGACCTCTGACATTGAAGGAGGCTGCTCTCCCTCACTCTGCTCTCTAGAAGGGCTTACAGCCGGTGGTGATGGCCCTTCAGGGGTTTGCACTGTCCCTCCTGTAAGCAAGCCCACTCTCCTCTCCTCTCTTAACTGGCTGTCTTGCTTGGAAAGGCCTTCCCCACTCTTAGGACACCGAGACCATTTTTATAATTTCATATCTGCAACCTACGGACATAATTGTTCTGATTTTGCTTTTCATGGCTTTGCAGAGTGTAACGTAGGCCCAATTCAGAACGCTAAGTAATGCTGACTGCTTCCTAAATAGCAGTCTTGTCCCCAGAACGGAAGACTGCATATGGGTTGTCCCTGTGTTCTGCCACAACACCCACAGTCCCCCCTGCAGATCATTCAAGCCACTGACGTCAGATTGGCATTCCTGATACTTGAAAGTCCTTGGGGGATAGGTCAGGTGCCAAGTTCACAAGGGGCACCGTTGCCCATCTGCTGTGTGACCTTGGTCTCGCTCAGCCCACACCACAGCATCATTGGCACAGTAGTGCCCCTTTAGGTCTGGTGTGACGGTCACCTGAAGTCAGCCAGGCAGGCTGGGAGCAAGTGCTTGGTAAGCCTCGGCTGTTTTGAATTCACCCTGGTATTTGAAGCACGTTGTGAGGAAGCTGATTGCTTCCTCCAGCCATTTAATTTTCACCCTTAGCTTTGCTTCATCTGAACTGGGTCCCTGCAGGTGTCTCACACACAGTGGGGGTAACACCTTCCAGGTCCCTCACTATCTCCTTTTACCAAAACCTGCCGACCCTCCACGGCCTTAAATACCTCTGTGCGGGAACTCACTGCTACTTCCCATAGCAATTGAGCGATTTTCTACTCTGTTTTTAAACTTTATTCTGAAGTAATTTCAGTCAGCTGGAAAAATTGTAAGAATAGTACCAAGAATTCCCATATGCCCTTCACCAACCTCTGCCTAAGATTAACATTTCCCACATTTATCATTCGCTCACTCTAAAAAGTTAAAACCATTTAAAAGTGCTGCATTTGTCTGATGTTTCCTCACATGTAGACTTAAGTTTGCAGTTTTGGCAGGAATACCACAGTCATTAGCACAAGGGCCAGAGTGCGGTGTTCAAGTCCAGGGCAGATTTTCCCTTCCCTATGTGTTCATGTGGGATAGCTAGGTTCACTCAGCTGTATACAATTTTAGGGTTGCTTCATCTTTGTTACTTAAGTTTTTGAATACATAAAACATTAAATGGTTCTAAAAGTTAAAACCACACAAAATATGTCACTGCCCTGCCCATCCCGTCTGATACCTGCCCTCCACCATGGGGAACAGTGTCCCCTATTTATTTACAAAATAAGCAGATCCCTATGTGTCATCCTGACTCACCTTTCTAATAGAAAAGGTAGCCAACCATAGGTACCTGCTTTATTATTGACGCATTAGGAAACTGGCCTACATCTCCTTATGGTCATCTCATTGTTTATACTCTTGCATCACCTCTGTTGTGCATGCTCCATGCTTCCTGTTTGCAGGTTAGGTGGGTTTTTAACGGCTTGTGATCACAAGTGAAACCTGAGAACTGCATCGTGCTGTTGTGGGTCTGGTTCCCCCACCCCCACTCTTCTATGGGCCTCTCTAGGTCCCAAGTGTTGAAAATCCTTCTGTTCCCCAAAGTGGCTGATGTCAGACCTTTGTCTTTGCACACTGTCCGCAGCATCCCGTCCAGGCTGGAGGATACCTCCTGGCCGAGTCCACTGCTCCATTCTTGCTGCAGGCCTCCCTGCCGTCTTTGTCAGTGGTGCATGTGGTTCACGTTGGCCTTTAATGGGAGTGCCTGTGTGGTGTCTTCTAAGGGGAGATCCAGCTTTTTTTTTT